GATGGATGGATGGATGGATGGATGGATGGATGGATGGATGGATGGATGGATGGATGGATGGATGGATGGATGGATGGATGGATGGATGGATGGATGGATGGATGGATGGATGGATGGATGGATGGATGGGTGGATGGGTGGATGGGTGGATGTATGGGTGGGTGGGTGGGTGGATGGATGGGTGGGTGGGTGGGTGGATGGATTGGTGGATGAAAAGATAGATGAATGGATACCGTGAATTACTACTTCCGGTACATGGAAACCCTCAAAATTAGACAGAAGATAGACAATTAGTGAAATTTCGTTTCTAATATATATATATATATATATATATATATATATATATATATATATATATATATATATATATATATATATATATATATATATATATATATATATATATATATATATATATCGTGGAGGTAAAATAAATACATTAATTAAATAAAATTTACCCCGTGTAATTGGTTTGTATTTTTCCACAACTTTCCATCCAAAATCATTTGTAGCTGCGCAAACAAATTCTAGTACACCATGTAGATAAATTGAAAGTACTTTAAAAAACGATTGATAAATGATGATAATCATGCCTAATTAATTATCAATAATTGACGGCCGTTGCTGTTGCTAACGGTGAGCATTAGGATGAGCACCAGCAAATAGCTCCATTTATTTAAAGGGGAATATCGCACAAACAAGTTTGTTTCATTTAGTAAGAGCCAAACATTCATCGTACAAAATAACAAGGCCTAAGGCTTCAGGATGCCCTAGACCCAGGGTCAACTAGCTAAAGTGCCTTGGACCACCGAACCTATAGGGTTTACGAAAGTCAAAAATCGAATTAGTGTAAACAAAAATAAATTAATACCTAATGTCTGTATGGCTTTGTTACTTCAAATTCGCTTTTGTATGTTTCATTTCAAAATTAAAGAATGTTTAGAATTAAATTGTAATTAATTCCATTTACAATAAAATCTGAAAAACAATAGCTAACACATAGAGAAACCTACACAAACTAAACGAAAACGATTTATTTCGATTTTTAAAATATTTTTTTCTTTAATTTCTAGATATTTACGCCCCTCTAAATAGTAATAAAAATCAAAGAATAAAAGTAATTATGAAGCTTAAGATTAAAAAAAAATACAATTTAAATAATGACATGGTGAAAACTAACAATAAGTAACTTTTATTGTATCGTATTCGTATATTCACTAGCGAATAATCTAATTATGAATATCTCATGAAGTGGTAAATACTGTTCATTAATAGAAAATAAACAATAGAAATATAATATCGTATTAAATAAGTATACCTGAGTTATTATAATATACTTGGATAGAGAGGAGGACAGCTCTTTGAAGGGATGTTGATGTATGTACCGTGTTGTTTATATACCAGGCTAAAGTTGTGTTTACTTGGCTGTCGTCTGTCTTTTTGCAAACACAGTGAATGTATTGTCCTTTTGTGATAGTTTTCGGACAGTTTTCAAAGTCAATTTTTGGGAATTCTGGTGAAGAAATTAAACATAACATATATATATATATAGGCCTATATGTTTATATATATATATATATATATATATATATATATATATATATATATGTATTAGCTAGTTGCACAAGCACATAATATATAACGTCACACGCTCTAAACCTTTTTATGAACAATAAATTCAAATATAGTCGTTCGCATTGCTATATAAACCATTTAAAAAACGATAGAATCGCTGTTATCGTGTTTGCAGACATACATACATACACACACACGCACACACACAGACAAACGGAAAAGATTGCAAAATTATGTTTTTCCGACTCAGGTAGGTGTAAAACGTCGAGATTTGCACGATTACAAGACTTTCTTTATACTCTGTATATACGAGAAAGTAAAAGTAAAAAGCTTTTATGAAGCACTTTATCAAAATGTACAAAACATTTTTTGACGATTAAAATACGTGGTTTCTTTTGGCAAAAACATATTGTACATACCGATTATTAATGTTTTGTTTTTTATAGCAATTTTGTTGATTTCGTTTACTTCACCGATAGCTTGAAATATTTCTACATCATACTCATACATTCCCGGAAGCAAATCTAAGGTTGGTATTAAAACAAAACATTCCGTTTTGTAATAAATAGGATTCGTCTTCACTGTCGTATAATGGTATGCTGTGCTTTGAAGTTCGTTTATAGGATACTGAAATAAAATAATTTTTTTTTCATATTTTATAGTGTATTTTTAAGTATACACAAAATATATATTAATGGTGAATTTTATTGTAGATCCTCAGTATTTTAATATTACTTTCTCTAATGATTAATTATATAGAATTACTATGATGTATAAAAAAAAATATTTTAAATCACAAAACAATTTTAAACTCCCATCAAAATTGTCTACTGGTTCTTGCACTGATTGCTCATCACGAAAAACGCTGTAGTTCAACACCTATTTTGGGATTAACATTAGTTCTACAACAATTTTGTTTTAAAGTAGAGTTAATTAACTGTTTTTTATCCAGTCTGAACATAAACATATCTTAATTGTATCATTTTTTTCTCCTTTAAAGTCATATACGCATCAAGCTAACCACTTGGTATAAAACGAATCACAACCTAACATACATACATTTACATACATATTTATATTCATAATACCATCTTAATATTTAAATGATTTGCTTGCTTGCTAGAGTTTGGTTGAATTAATTACAAACCGCGTTAAGTCTTGCTTGAAACTTGCAAATGCTTTTCGGATAAGACGGTGTTGTTGTACATGATATCAGCAATCCTTCCTTCTTGGGCTTGTAGTAACAGCTATCTATGTTTAATTGACCTACACATCAGAAGGGGAAGATTAAAAGTGGGATGTAAAAAACAAAACATGATGCAGTTCTAATAACATTTGAAACGAATGTCCCTTGAGTATTCTTAAATAAGTTGTAAAATCTAGGGCGTAATAGGATGTGAAATTTTATATATATTGTCTCTTACACAAATGAAAATTTTATATTAAGTTTAGTGTTATTAATGTATATTGTGTTATTATATTTTATTCCATATAAGGACGATTCTTTTATAAAAAAAATTAGATTAATGGTGATAGAGTGAAATTTAAATTTTAGTAAGCATTATATTATAATGGGTGATTTGGAATGATACATTCAAAGTCATTTTAAAAAACAATAACTGGGAAATGAAATGACAAAATCAGTCATATCCGGTAGGAAAACCAGGTATTAAGCTAATGCTATTGCAGTAGCATATATAAAATGATGTGAGAGGCCATATACAGGACATCATTTTTTTAAATTGTGAACTTCTAATTTATTTGTATTATTGTTATTGTTATTGTTATTGTTATTGTTATTGTTATTGTTATTGTTATTGTTATTGTTATTGTTATTGTTATTGTTATTGTTATTGTTATTGTTATTGTTATTGTTATTGTTATTGTTATTGTTATTGTTATTGTTATTGTTATTGTTATTGTTATTGTTATTGTTATTGTTATTGTTATTGTTATTGTTATTGTTATTGTTATTGTTATTGTTATTGTTATTGTTATTGTTATTGTTATTGTTATTGTTATTGTTATTGTTATTGTTATTGTTATTGTTATTGTTATTGTTATTGTTATTGTTATTGTTATTGTTATTGTTATTGTTATTGTTATTGTTATTGTTATTGTTATTGTTATTGTTATTGTTATTGTTATTGTTATTGTTATTGTTATTGTTATTGTTATTGTTATTGTTATTGTTATTGTTATTGTTATTGTTATTGTTATTGTTATTGTTATTGTTATTGTTATTGTTATTGTTATTGTTATTGTTATTGTTATTGTTATTGTTATTGTTATTGTTATTGTTATTGTTATTGTTATTGTTATTGTTATTGTTATTGTTATTGTTATTGTTATTGTTATTGTTATTGTTATTGTTATTGTTATTGTTATTGTTATTGTTATTGTTATTGTTATTGTTATTGTTATTGTTATTGTTATTGTTATTGTTATTGTTATTGTTATTGTTATTGTTATTGTTATTGTTATTGTTATTGTTATTGCTATTGCTATTGCTATTGCTATTGCTATTGCTATTGCTATTGTTATTGTTATTGTTATTGTTATTGTTATTGTTATTGTTATTGTTATTGTTATTGTTATTGTTATTGTTATTGTTATTGTTATTGTTATTGTTATTGTTATTGTTATTGTTATTGTTATTGTTATTGTTATTGTTATTGTTATTGTTATTGTTATTGTTATTGTTATTGTTAATGTTATTGTTATTGTTATTGTTATTGTTATTGTTATTGTTATTGTTATTGTTATTGTTATTGTTATTGTTATTGTTATTGTTATTGTTATTGTTATTGTTATTGTTATTGTTATTGTTATTGTTATTGTTATTGTTATTGTTATTGTTATTGTTATTGTTATTGTTATTGTTATTGTTATTGTTATTGTTATTGTTATTGTTATTGTTATTGTTATTGTTATTGTTATTGTTATTGTTATTGTTATTGTTATTGTTATTGTTATTGTTATTGTTATTGTTATTGTTAACAATAATAATATTTTCTAGTATAATATTTGCATTAAAAAAAAATAAAAAATGTAAAGATGTTATTCTTTTTATGATTAATTATACTGTTTCTTAAGTAAATAAAGTACGTATCTAATGAAAATCAAAGGTTAAATACTATTTACTACTTTGTAATAAATCTTCAAATTTCTTCTATGTTACTGTTAGTGAGCTAATGTTTATATTGCGTTAAGATTACTCTATAAAATAATTAGCTTATTAGGTCTTTCACATTATTGTGTAAGAAATCCCAAATGCTCTCTAAATAGAGACCAAAATATGCTATGCTATGCTTTGATTGAATCGTATTATTTTATTCCAAAATAAAAGATCTTCATCTAATATGTACTGCCGTAGTTATTTTTCGTTGTCTACAAATGTGATATCTGCTACATATTTTACAAAATAACATATATAACATATTGCATACGACAATATTGCTTACAAAAAGTAAAACTATTCAATGCCAACATAATTTTTATTTAAAAATCTGGAGTTCTAGTGACAGCTAGTAGGGTAAATACAAATAATGTGTTTATTTATTATTGTATGGGGGGATTATTTAAAGGGAGATAACTGCACCATAAAGTTGGTTAAGTACCTTTATATTTAACTAGCCATCGGTACCCGTTTCACGTGAATTATGGACCTATATATTTTAAAATGTTGTACTTGTTTGAGAAAAATAATTTATGAAATAGTTATTGGTCAAAATGCAATGTGCTTTACTATACGCTGAATGATATTAGTGACAAAGCAAAGAAATAACTAATTAGCTAAAAACCCGACACATTTAACATAACACAGGCACACACTGATTAAGTGATTTCAATGATTCCGTTAAAAATCTTGTTATTCAATGGTCATTATGTTGTTTTTAAGTAATTTGTATTAGTTTTACAGATAAAATTGTATATATTTCATAAAGTACGACTTGATGAGTAGATCTATAGATCTAAATCAAATTTGAATGAAGTAGTTCCTTTCTTTATAGTCTAAAATCGGAAGATTCACTTATAAAAAGAAAATAAAAAACTAAGTTTCACTTGGTGTGTCTCAATACCGCACCACCTGCGTGATTTTAATTACACTATCATCACAGCTATTTAGGCACCTTATAAATTATGGAGAATGAAACGCGTATTTAAAAAAATTTAACTTACGCGAATATGCCTATTCTTTCAAATTAATTTTTTTTATCCCAAATTAGTCAGTACCATAGCTAAACATACACAGATTTTGTATAAAATAATTATGGCCTGAAATAGTTTAGTTTATTTCTTTTTATTCTAAATACGGCAGATGACACCATTAGTTAATGTATAAACATTAGCACAGTTTTATGCGTTCTTTTTCACAACTATAAATGTTTTTCCTGTTGCATAATTAAAACTGTTTTTCTACATTCAAATATGCCTTTATTTTTTATTTTTCTTCTTTAAATAAAATGTTGGTTATACATTTAAAACATCTACCATACTATTTTCAACAAAATTCCGTATCAAGTTCTCCAAATATCGCTGCAGATTCTGACGTGATATCCGGCGAAAATATTTTGCGGACAGAGAGTGTGAGAGAGAGAGAGAAGTGTGCACATGGGCTTTTATATATTAGGATTTCAATTTGCTTTCTCTTTTTGTGCTAAGGAGCCTTTTCATGTTGAATAAATGTTTAACACTATGTTGAGTATTTTCCGATAAGTAGGCAAGGAGCTTTCTGGTAACTAATTATGCTATGCCATACATCAATACGCATTTGCTTTATTTTGTTTTTTCAAATTCTTGACGAATTTGTTGTATTAGATTAAGTGTGATTGTTAAATTAATTTTAGAGGGATTTTATGAATTTACAATGAACATCGTTAAGGTTTGCGTGGCTAAATCAATATAAAAATCACACACATAGATACAGTAGTTAGTATTTTTTTTAGTATAATACAATTACGTCAAATTTTTGTCATTTAAATATTATTCTTTTTTTTCATATTGGTATTTATGTCAACGCTAACAGTTGTATACAATTATAATATTACAAAGTGTTCCATATATGTACTTCATAATTTCTATAAAAAAGCAAATCTATAAAACTCACTGTATATGTTTAGCATACAAGAATATTGGAGCTGCTTTTCGCTGTTATTTTTCTGTTCGAATAGTTCCCAAACTCCCTCGGACGACAAAATGCTACTCAAATTTCGACTTAAGTTTACCAATTTGATACTGAAATGAAACCGATCGGCTTCAAAAAATATATCAGTCGCTACATTATGTCTATATTGTGGGTAAACTTTACAGACATATTCTCCATTAATGAAGCATTCGGTAATTGGTGTAGAATTACGACTCCAAACTAAATGGACATAAGGCTGATCACTTTGCACATACGTCCTGTTTATCACACATTCCGTATTCTCGCCGCAGACATTGCACATTGGAATACCTGACAAAGATTAAAAGATAATATACCAATAATATTCGTATAGCTATATACGAAAGAATAAAAGAAGTTATCAAAAGCAACTGGAAAGAGAGAGAGAGAGAGAGAGAGAGAAAGAGAGAGAGAGAGAAAGAGAGAGAGAGAGAGAGAGAAGCGGTATTTATTTAATATTCTTCAGAGTAATTATCTAAATAAAGTTGTTTTATGTTTAGCCAGTGGTTTCTTGGAATTGTGTTTTTCTATGAAATGAATACGGCTATTATATGTATTTTTTTTTGTTTAATTAGTTACCGTGTTCAATGAAAATAAGGTAGGCACTTATTAAATTTTATATTCTTCTTTTATGTGTATCTATGTTGTGCGATTTACAGGCGGTGGTAAAAAAATAAAATAATTATAGCTTACAGTATACAACAATGTTGATGTTTATCAACATATAAACAAACACGATGGTGTGTGAAGGCATCATATTCTTTTTAACTTATTTACGGCTTTATCTGAAATTTTATGGAATAACAGTTAATTAGTATAGTATAGTGAATTTTTCCAATATAAACTGGTAACATTACGTTTAAGTTAAAATTTGTATTAAAGTTAAATTATTGATTTACATCACTTTTACTTACACCCTTTAAAACACATGTAATTACATTCTAAACAGGCAAAATGCATTATACAGGTAGCCTAAAGTGGCATTATTGATGTTTACAACAACAAGAAATTTATTTACTTTAATTACGTTATTTAATTATTGAGACGAGAATAGATTCTGGAATTACAGATCAAGAACAACATTATATATATCGCGGTAATGGAAGAAATTCTGACGAAATATATAAGAAGGGTTTCATCCATGCAATGCCAATTCTATATTATAACACTCGTGACCTTGTTTTCTAAAAGTGAGTTATTTAAATGTAAACAACGCCTGTGCGTCGATCATAAATATCAGGACACAGGTTTACCTACAATACCGCATGAAAACATGGATTGTACATCAATCACTAAAAGAAATAATCAGGTAGAACACACTTTGCTGACCACCCATTACACTACCGAAGAGGCGCAACGTACGGCCCCTGGTTCCTTAAAACTAACATGGGTGCCATAGTGCTAAAATGATGACCCAGAACACCACATAGCATCCTGAAACAAGGATGCATATTGTGTCATTCGCTAAAGCTACACAAATCAACAGGGTTTTTTCTTTAACACGTACACAAAAAGCTTTGACATAGTTAATTTATGTGATTGGAAATAGCGTAAATTACAGGGCCCTCAAAGGCCCATGTGGGTCTTTTAGGGCCAAAACTGATATTTTGTTCGCAGCCAAATTGCACCCTACCATGTCGCCGGAGGACACGTCTGATTCAATTTATCGAGCGACTGTAACGCCCCATCTTATCAATTCTCTATCATACTTTTTAGTCGCCATAGAGCTCACCAGAAAGACCAGGGCGCAAAATCGCATACTGCCGGGGCAGCCCGAGCGAAAATAAATCCCCCCCCATAAACCATCTCGGGAGTATTCATCAACTCCTAAAGTTTTATGGTACTCTGGTCAACGGTGTCGAACCGCATCCAACTTTCGTTTTTTTTAAATTTATAGTATATAGAGAAGAATCGCATCCTCCTGGATGCCGCCATTGCGAATTTAAAAGTATTTTTTTTTTCAGAAACCTCACTTGTGTTCTAATCAGCTCCAAAAAGTTTCACGGCGATCGGATAAACGGTGTCAAACCGCAATCGACTTTTCTTTTTATATACCGTCTACAGAGAAAAAGCAAATCGCGCCCTACCGGGCGCAACCCATGCAGATTTGAATTTTTTTTTCGCAGACACCTCCCAAGAAATATTCTCAACAACTTCCAAAGTATCACGGCGAAATGATCAGAGGTGTAGTAATGCAAAAAAGACAATCAAACAAACAGATACACACACACATACATTGATTTATATGTATATATATATATATATATATATATACATATATATATATATATATATATATATATATATATATATATATATATATATATATATATATATATATATATATATATATATATAAGTTTTGTAGATATTTTAAAATGAAGCGCTAATAGTATTTTTGATATTTTAAAGTTGTAATACAAGTAGATTACACATGAGTCTGTTGTTGTTATTATCATCTTGTTAACTTGTGACCTTAATCTTTCAAAAAAGATTTCTAGACTTCAGAGGTCTGAGCAAGAATTTAGAAATTTACTCATTGTGACGCACTAATATGCTAACAATGTTAATCAGATCCGCTATGTATATGTAACGAAACATCTGGGGTTAAGTTACGTGTATGACTGTATTTTCTTCCAGTTTATATATTCAAAATTTATTGCGTAAATTATTATTAAATAAGCAACTTTGGATAAAATGGGTCAATTTCGGCGTTTTATGATCTTCTATATTATTGGTAAGTAGGCCTATAGATACAAACGATAAATAATATAATCTTGACGGTCGGAGAAAAAGTGTCATTTTATATTTAACGTCGTCAAAAAAATAAAAGTTATCTTGTTGCTTTTCATTCGTAATTCAAATAGTGATTTCGAAAAAAAACTTACCTTTATTAAGTAGGTATTGTAACTGCTAGTAACATTAACATTTGGCAAATCAAGCTCGTCTTTAAACGTAATATCTTGTAGAACAGGGTTTGGTAAAATTACGAAATTTTGAAATATACACTACAACAATAGACATGGTTTTTCAGTTGCTATTAAATAACAAAATCGAAAGAAAAATGTATACTTAGCATCTAATGATTTAATTGCTATTCTAAATTTATTATACTTGATTTACCAGAAATAGATTGTGTTTTAAATTGTTTCTTTTCTTATTCAATATATAAAGATTGAAAGTAAAACTATTAAATAAAATAAAATAAATTTGTCATCAGTTTAATTCGATTAATAATATTATTTTAAAATTCAATTTTAAATGTATTTGATGTATAATAAAAATGCCATGCATTTTTATAATAAATAAAAAATGTCTGATAAGTAATTTATTTGGTCTTAGGTGCTTTGACCACAGGTGCTTTGACCATAGGGAGTTTGACCATAGGGGGTGTGACCTCAGCGGAACATTGCCCTTAGGGGCTTTGACCATAGGAATTTTGACCACAGCGGGGCTTTGACCACAGAGGGGGATTAACCATATAATATATAGATTTTAAAATAGGAATTACAAACTGTTATTTAATATAAATTTATGATACAATTTATAAGATTGTATACATGTTTCCTGAGAGTCCACTAATTGAAATTAACATATACTAAAAAAAAGTCAAGAACGATACTTTAGTCTCCACATAAAGGGTGGTACTAGGCCTAATAGATTTATTTTAAATATAAATGGAAAAAAGTTAATGAGACATAAAATGTTTCAAAAAAGATAATGTAGTTGTACCTGAAAATACATAAAATATATAAAGATAAATAAACCGGGAGTGATCTCCCCTTAACTTTCTTGAATATTCTAATATAAAACTACGAGGGATGGCAACTCAGGACATAGACAATATTTGTAATCCATTTTTAATTACTTAAACTTTTTATAATAGAATAGAATCGCGTAAAAAAAACAAAGAATTGCACACCAAGTGAACGCCTAATAAAATGTGCATAATAGTGCGGGATATTATTAGTACTTTATAAATTTACGTGCGTTTTTTTGAGAAATTGGAAATAGCGTAAATTAGTACTTCCGTTCAACGGAAATTCATCGAAATTTGACAGAAGGTAGAGAATTAGATCTTTTACAAACATGTGAAATTTAATTTACCTATCTTAAATAGAACTCAAGTTATAGGCTTTTTAAAAATTCAAAGTAGAAAAAGTATTACTTCCGGTTATCGGAAATCGCTCAAAAGTTTATCAGGATCTACGATTTTGATAAAAACTTATATATGAAATTTCATCAACCTAGCTGTTACGGTACTCAAGTTATGAAGGACTGAGTAAAACGGTGAAAACTGTCAACATTTTATGTTATTTTTGTGCACGATTACAATACTTTCTCTATACTTCGTATATACGAGAAAGTAAAAAGGATACAAAAGCATGCCAATAGCATAGACAAAGAAGTAATGCTTGTATGGTTAACTAAATGACAGATGTGCTATAGCACGCAAATATGTCAGTACATCTGTTTGACCATATGCCAGTACATCTGTTTAACCATATGTCTGAACATCACTTTGTAATTTTTTGTGCAGCATTCTGCATAGCTTCTCAGCTGGGTAGTTTGCATCTGCGACACCTTGCAAGAAAGTTGTCTTTTGCCGTATTGGATGACTACATTAGAGGAGAGACTGAAGACTGTAATACCATTTCACAAATGTTATTTGTTCGTGATACACCATCGCCAAAATTATGTGTATTTGATTCCAATTTTTAAAATGTATCCTTAACATTAATAGATAAATCGTAATAAGAAGCCTATTCATATTTTTTACATTTGCTTTATAGCAATTTCAACTGCACAAGTAGTGGTGTTACAAAACAATCCCTGCAAGCAGGACTCAACAGGTTCCAAATCCAAATTTTCGGCCTCATTTTATGTAAATAATGTATCTACTAATGTAACGGCGTTATATTTTTCAACTATAGACAACATTTCCTCAGACAGAGAGGTTGTAATTGATGTAAGTTTTTTTTTTTTGCTTAAATCTATTTATGCCTTACGTTAATACAAATAATTTACCATAGCTATAGGCTGCTAATACACACACTTAATGTGTAATGCTATTTCTCAGTTACAATATTATTATAATACCTTATTTTCTTTGTTTAGCTGTGCATAGTGAGAATTCGAAAAACGGTCTGTACTTTCGGCGTCAATGTCGATTGCAACTGTTCTCAAGAAGCGGCAGGAAGTCTAAAATTCGTATTGACTGTAAAAGAATTAAATAAACACTCAGTGCTCAGGACTGCTTTCGAAATCAACAACACCTATTTATCTGAACTGGATATTAAATTGTGTGGTATGAAAACATTATTCGTATTTAACTGCCTAAGTATTAGTATAGTTACAATCAATTATACGATGAAACTATCACGAAACAATAAAGTATCAAAAAGACAATATATATATAAAGAAAGGATCTCTTAGGTTACATTTTTTTTCCCCATTATATAACGCAAACTAAAATGTTAAAATAACATCGCAATTTTTAATTTTTCAACAACTGTTTTCCTTTCGAATATACAATAATATTTTAAACATAATTAAGATAAAGTATATAAGCAAACAATATCTACACGACAAAAACGTCCTTTCTATAATATTTGTTATCATGTAATCTAGTTTTGTTTACCAGGGGAGGAAGATTATTCATACAAGTATGCTATTTTGTCAGCAAATTTTATCAGAAATTCTTAAAATATTTCGTATGATACATTTTTCAGTTACCTCAATATATATATATATATAT